TTTAAAAAATAAGTTCAAACACAGAGGAAACCACAACGGAGACATTTCTCTACAAAATGAAGTTCCCACTTCTGAAACTTCTTGCCCACAGCTGTTATTTTTCACCTTAGGTTTGCGAGCCAAATGTTAAAGAAGCAGCCAGTATGTGAGGGTGCATCTCATTCCACATTTCAGACTTTTCTAGTTCGTTTTGAATTAATTAGTCCAGCTTAAAGTAATTTATGTCAGCTGAAGCTCAGCTAATGTGGCCAAAGAACCATGAATAAAATTAAGCAAGAATCAGTATAACATTAAACGCCCCTTTCGCATATTTTGAGAAAATCATAATTGATTGTAAAACACATAAGTTCTGAGTGAGGTGAAGCAAACACACGCTACTTTTCTGTAATCTTTAGAAAAAATACAAATACATAATTTGGGATAATGATCAAGTATTCTTTCTGTCAGGTGCATAACTTCATCCAGATAAGTTGTTGTTTGCTTGTTTGTTTGTTTTTTAACTGGTATACTACATGCTTATTTGTTTGTTTTTTATAGAAATTCATAAAGTCTACCAAACTAAACTTCTGTCTATAAACTGTTGGACAAAGACACAATTTCTATAGATTTGCTGCTGCACATCACCGCAATAACTTTTAAATCAGCCATATTTCAGCTTTAATTCGGTGGTTTGGCAAAGATTTTAATTAACGTAAGCACCTGTTAATTAAATTTTAATTACGTGTTTATGAATTAGCTGCATCAAACTGGCTGAAAGTATTAGCTATATTTATACATAGACCTTATTTACAAGCATTCATTCTGTTTAGGAATAAACTAAGTCATAAATGCAGCCTAAAGATCAGACGATCTGTCTGACTTTGTTTGTTCCATCATTTGCACCAACATCTCTTTAGGTCCCATCTTGAAATTACAATGAAAGGTTTAAAAAAAACAAGGCCGCACTTGCCACAAAACAAAACTGTTTGTCACTAACTTCTCTAATTACTTTTGAGGCTCTAATGAAGAACTATGTATAAAAATGACTATATTAAAGTAAAATGCTTGTTAAACCTGCTGAACTAAAGTTGAAGGTCTGCACTTCAGTCGCATCTTAACTGTATGATTTAAAATTGTGTGGCGGGACAAAAAAAAAATCCCACTGATGTTGAATATCTCTGTCTGGATAAACCACTGAATGGTTACAAAGCCAAACACCCCCAACAAAGAGAAACGCACAAACAAATGTT